TTTATTGAATATTTCAGCTAATATGATAATGCTTTCAGCTACTAAAAAGAGTGTAGTACTTTCAGCTACAACAATTCAAATGTACCGTTTTGTCAGTTTTGAAGTCTGGGTCTGAAATTGAACAAAAATTACTACTGCAGATGTTGACTGCTGCAAATGAAGTACCTTGCAGCTCTTTGTCCGGCCACCATCCCAGCTCACAGGCTTTGCAGGTGAACTCATCCTGCACATATTCATTGTCTTTACAGGCCGTACAGATCCAACAGCAGCTCACCTCCCCTTTCCTGATCACCTGTGAGGACACAGGAACACTTTTTCTTTTATTTGTATCTTAAGAAGAAACGGATGCAATGGAAATAAAGGCAACTCTTTTATATGAGAGTTTTTGCTAATAAATATACAAACTCACCTTGATCTCTCCTTTGGAGCAGGGCTCACTGCAAACAGATCGGACCATCTCACTACGGTTCATCTGGATCATATAATCATCGATACTTAAAACGCCTTTATGCCACGAGCCGACATTTATATAGTCATAGACTCCAGGTTCTACATATTGCAGGTTCATAATGTCATACCTTCAAAAAAGAGAGAGATAGTAACTCATCTACAATACAAGGAGTTTTCTGATAGTTATCTAGGGCAAGCATAGCTATTACTATTGCTTCTAGTTAGGGTCAGCAATTTAAACAAACCCCCACACTTAAGTATTAAACTTCAGCATGTAAGTCTTCCTGTGTTGACTCAAATTTTCTTTGGAATAAATGTACTTTACTAATAAAAAATTATGAATATTGTTACCAAAACACATATTTATGGGGAAAAAAATCCAGAAATGCCTGTGAGTGAGTGTTTGCCAAAGCCAGGCCATTGGACTTATTGGATGCATGCTCCACGGTGGTTTAAAAATTAATTAATGGCTATTTTTGTGTTATTCAATTAGTGCATAAAACGTAGCTTTATGTAGGGCAGTAAGTAAGACTGACCTGCCAGGCGAGTCCCCGTTTTCATCAAACCACACATCTTCTCCAGACACACCAGTAAACGAGGTCTTGAGGAGAAAGTCCAGCAGTTTGCTGCCATCAATGGGGTCCATGGCATCACACAGTCCCACATGACCCTGACACAAGTGCTCATGCATATCATGAAGACCGTGAGCCATGGCATAGATGGCATTAATGACGAAGCCCATCTTACTGTCCTGGACATAGTTGTCCTCCAGGCTTTCATAACCTGTGAGAATCAGCAAACCAAAAAGCAATTATTAGAACATCAATGCAATGCACTCAATGAGTGTTTTAGTCAACATGAAACAACATTTGCAACCCATTTTACATCCTTATAGATCTAATCAGCTATTTGACTACTGGTTGACATTATCCCCAACCAAGTGATGTTAGTCTTTTCATGTAAGCAATGAAGACATCATTGACAGTAAATAAAGAAAAGTGCATTAAGAAAGTAAACAGGGTCAATATCGATTTCATGTTGACTGCAGCAAATCATTCAGCAATATCAGCAAATTCAGAAAAATTCCACATTTTGCAGCTAAAAGGCTTTTACTGAAATTAAAATCCCCACTGTAACAAGTTCAGCCATGATATTTCCAATCCCCATTTTACAGTCACTTTAAAGGGAACGATAGGGTGTCCAAAGACATCATTATTCCTAAGCCACAGGCGACATGACAGTAAGTTCTTTTTTTTTTTTTTTCATTGGACAGTGAATCAGAAGACAGCAGCATTAAAAGATAAGATCAAACAAAATGCAGTTGCCATGGCGAAGCAAACCATTTATGTAACCCAACTCAGCATTTAATTAGTAATGGACATGATGGTGACATTATTATTAATTGAGCAAGGAAATTAATTATTCATCCGTGTTCTCATTCTTGCCCGTCTCCCTCATGAGTCAAAGTAAATGTGGCTGACAATTGAAGAAAAAAAAAAGATCGCTGTATTAATTCAAAGGAATGGGCAATGTCAAAGGACACCCTATTGGCTCATTATCTGGTGATCAGTAACAAGCCAGCAGGAAGCAATATCAGGCACCATAGCTGATAAATATGGTGTATTAAAAAAAAACAACAACAACCACACATTCAAAGAAAATGCTCATCGTAACATGGCTCTCACCTTATATCTGTAAATTAAAGTGCACTGCAGCAAGCAACGGGCAAAAGCTCAAATCTAGGCATGCTTCGCTGGCCGATCCCAAAATAAAACAGTGACACTTTGAGAAAAACTAAAACATTAAATACATTAATAATAGAGGCAGATTGTGAGGATACCC